TGCCTGTTTAGCATACGGTTCCCTGCAATAGCTCTTCCGCAGCTGACGCTGTTAAGGCATATGTTCAAGCACTCCTGTCTTCCAAATATAAGACATGGATAGAACTTCCGCCTGAGCTAAGGCCAAAACATTGGCGAGATAAGTTTGTTAAACCCGTAGTTCTCCTAGTTAAAGCCTTGTATGGCCATCCTGATGCCGGTGGTCTTTGGGAGCAACCTTAAGAAAATTATCCGTAACCTTGGAGGTCAGGAAGTCCCAGAATATCCAGGTAACTTTTTTTCCCCAAATACTAAGTTGTTACTGTCCACATACGTGGATGACCTCACGCTAGCTGGACCCTCAGACCAGCATGATGCCTTTTGGGCGAAGCTAACATCGATTGTGGATATAGAACCACCTGAACCAATATACCGAATTTTAGGCCGCAATCATCTAGTAATGCCATTGTCCAAAACCGAAGGTTCCGAGGAATGTAATGTGCTGCGTTTCGCGCACAAGAAGCCTTAGTCTTTGACATGCTAGATTATGCACACCAAACGGTTGACCTTTATAAGTCCATCACCAACACCAAAAGTTTGAAGCATGCTGCCACTCCTTTTGTACCTGACGGTTCTGTCTCTGTTGAAGATGAGGAGGCTAAAGGTGAACTGGCATCTATCTATCTGTCTATCCATCTATTTATCTATCTATCGATCTATTTATCTATCTATCGATCTATCTATCTATCTATCGATCGATCTATCTATCTATCTACCTATCTATCTATCTATCGATCGATCTATCTATCTATCTATCTCTATGTATATATATATATTTATATTTATATATCAATAGATCTGGGTAAATTATAACGACCTCACTGCGACCTCACTGGAAATCATGGGTAGTAAGGAACATCATCCCCAAATGGCCTTAATTCAGGTTAGTGAAATATTATAATTTACCCAGATAGATATATGGATGCTCTGGCTCATAGAACTCGTTTTGCGTGACTCCGAGACGCAGGATGAAAAAGTCTTCCATTGCCAGAGCGATGAGTGCGAAGGTACGAGTGACACGAAGGAGGCGCACGGTTTGGGACCAAAAAATCCATGAAAATGGTGGTTTAATGGGATTTAACCAACAAAAATTGTGATTTAACCAACAAAAATTGTGATTGTGAGATTTTTTGTGGGATAACATGGATCATTGGGATTGAACCAACAAAGAATTAGGAGTGATGGATAACCTGATGATTTTTGAGGATGTTTGGGAAATGGTTTTGGACTCAGTCAGACATGTACCCTCTGGTAATGACTGCTACGTTGCTTTTGAAAATGGTGATCTATAGTGAGATTACCCATTGAAAATGGTGATTTTCCATAGTTATGTTAGTTTACCAGAGGGTATCCCCTGTAAACTGTTGAAGGGTCAGGTGAGCACTGTTGAAAACCATTGTTGATGATTTCTTCCCTGTAAACAGGCAAAACGATGTGGAAAATCCATGAAAAACCACCATGAAAGTAGATTGTTTTCTGAAAAACCGGTGCTTTTCCACATGTGTGTTAGTTTACCCTAGTGTATACTACCATGGGAAATCTTGGATGGTTTGGTACTTTAATCCTTTGATTCAAAAGGAAACAGTCTAACCAGCTATCTTGTTTGCACGGCATCTAAGATTAGGAATGTTAGGATGACTGCACGTCATGCTTCCCACAACCACTACTTATCGTTGACATCCACGTTGGTTGTTGCAAGAAGTTTTTTCTTTGATTATTTAGTGTTTTGCAAGTAGACCTTTTGTTTATGTTCACGTTTTCTCTACTGCTTGGCCCATAGACTTGCTGCAAAAATAGCTGTCCTCTCCGGCCTTTTTTTATACGTTAAATCCCCCATCAACAGGGTTACGTGCCATTTATCAATCGGGATGTGACACTAGTTTTCTACTTTTGCTGGTATATTTCCATCAAAATATTGTATGAGTAACTACAAAACTAGCGGAAGACTAATTCGTAGTGGGGAGTGGACTTGGGATGTTCAAATTTCTGCGAAACCATGCGGAACCATTCACAACCGATAGGGGACCAGCCACTTACCCATACCCTATTTTTTCATGGGGATACCCCAATAGCTGGATGCCTTTGTCGAATGGAAAATCCGAAAAGAACATGGATGAGAGCTGGGGGTACCACCATGACTTGTCGGAAACCTTCATATGATATTATATACAGTGACTACAGTGTTCATATTTTATTCCCCTCCATGTAAATCAATATATAGTTCATATGTCCGAGCCTTTGATCCATGGTGCATTTTTTTCCTAGTCCCGTTTCAAGATGGACCCCAGTTCCGTGACGGATATCACATAGAATGCATATGGAGGTTTCCGACAAGTCATGGTGGTACCCCCAAATCATCTAACTCGTGGGTATGATGCATTTCATTTCCGGATTTTTCCATAGGTATCCCATGATATCCCCCTGTGGTACCCCCAAATCATCCACTTTGATAGGATTTTCCATCATAAACCATCCAGCGAGCTTGGGGTACCATTGCAAACAAAATTGATTTTGGTTCTTCATGACCCAAAAATCAATGGATTGGTTAAATTGAACAGTTACAGGAAAACCTCATATTTAATGGGAAAATCTATGGTTCCGTGTAGATTTTGCCTTTAACCAATCCATTGAAAATACAAAACTCATCAAAAACATGAACCACCATGATCCAAAAATCGAGATTTTCCCTTTAACATCCTTTAACCAATCCATTGAAAAAATGACAACAGGTCATTGTAGAGTCCATGGACGACTTCGCCCAGCGCTACGACCAGTGGCAGGTGCGGCGTCTCACGGGACGCGACGGGACGCGGCCAGAGCAGATTTTTCGGTTGAAAACCACTGCTGGTTGATGATTACCCCGGGTAAACATACAAAGACATGTGGAGCATTGATGAAAAATATGAAAATCCACTATTTGTAGATGGTTTTCTTAATGAAACCATGTTTTTTCACATCTATGTTAGTCTACCCTAGGGTATATGGATTTAACCACCATTAATAGGGGTTTTAACATGGTTTAACATGTTTCAACAATCAACATATGAAAATACTGTTGGCAAACATTTTAAAAATGATGGTTGCTTGATGGTCGGTTGACGATTATTTGGGATTATACCGTTACATTGGAATAGTCCACATTGGACGACCGGTTGAAAACGGGCATATAATACAACCAATAAGATGTACCCTCTGGTAATTTTACATTTAACTATCAAACATGGTGATTTTCCATAGCTATGTGCAATAAGCAGAGGGTCATGTTTTTGCACCTTCATCAAGATGAAATGTTCAATTATTGGAAGAATATCAATATATGGTTTGACTATGTCAGAATTTCCATGTACATACAACCAATAATCTAACAGAGCCATGGAACATGGCCCGTGTCTAGATGACTTTCCTATTAAAACGGGTATTTCGTATTATTTTCCAGAGTACAACCAAACAAAGGGTAGTGTACTCAGCCAAAACGGTTTGATGAATGGTCATTTAAGCAACCAAAATTGGAATTAAATTGGATATCATCGGATATAATATGGGATGTATAGCGTTCAATATTTCAGCATTATATTTCCTGATTGGTGGTTTCAAATATCAGCGAAAAGTATGCGGTAATAACAAAAAATATATAAAGTAGGGAATCTGCGAGGGTATTTCCAAGACTTTTGTGCGATATGACATGACTGTTATTGGAATCACCGCTTCCGAAATGATAAAAACAGCCCCAGACAAAAGCCATGGCTTAGTATTGAATCTATTCAAGAATTCCCACCCATGACTCGGTCTCAATGGGTCAGAGAAATCCGTCAACTGTAAACCGGAGCATTCGGGGAGACCCAAAATTGTCGCAGATAGCATCTTGTGTCACGTCAAAAACTATATTGTATATATAATATAATATAATATTATATTATATTATACTTAATATTATACATTATTTTAAATATCATGTAATATAATATAATATTATATATTATATTAAATATAATGTAATATAATATTAAATTTAATATTAGATATAATATTATATATATCATACTATATATAATATTATATATACACATATAATAATTACAGTACCTTGTGCAGAAAACAATAATCATATATGACACACCCATTCACATTGATTATGGATGGATGGATGGATGGATGGATGGATGGGTGGATGGATGGATGGGTGGATGGATGGATGGATGGATGGATGGATAAACAGACAGATATCATGATAGACAGACAGATAGACGGCAGATAGATAGATAATTAATGATAGATATATGATATAGTCCATATCAGATAACATGTCACCACCACTTCTTTGTTTATGATTGTGTTATTTTTGCGAGCTCTGACAACTTTTTGGGACCTTGCTTTGGAGACCTGTAGAGGACACGGATGGTTGTGGTACATCCCCATGGAGAACATGCTGAAAACAATGCGCAGAAGAATGACTACGATTAATTCATCAAATACTTAGATTAAAACTACCCTTTGGTTATTTAACATAGCCGCCAATGGAAATTGCCCATCGAAATAGATGGCTTACCTATTAAAAATGGTGATTTTCCATGGCTATGTTAGTCATAACCAGATGGTATCGTTAGTCTTTCATCATCGCGTGAATTAATACAATGACTACGATAAGCTTTGCTGACAGAATTTGTGAAATCCTGCTTAGCTGCAACTTGTCGGAAGAGTGGTTTGTTTATTGGACTGAACATGATGAGATTGTCATTTGTGGGAATCTCTCTGAGCATTGCAGTGAGGATTCTTACAGTAGGGTAAAATCTGACCAGACCCACGTTGTTTTGCCTTAGTTGGACTTGCGGTGAATGCATGCTTGGAAAGCCATGGATTATTGGACTGAACAGGATGAGATTGTCATTTGTGGGAATCTCTCTGAGCATCGCAGTGAGGATTCTTACAGTAGGGTAAAATCTGACCAGACCCACGTTGTTTTGCCTTAGTTGGACTTGCGGTGAATGCATGCTTGGAAAGCCATGGGCTATTGGACTGAACAGGATGAGATTGTCATTTGTGGGAATCTCTCTGAGCATTGCAGTGAGGATTCTTACAGTAGGGTAAAATCTGACCAGACCCACGTTGTTTTGCCTCAGTTGGACTTGCGGTGAATGCATGCTTGGAAAGCCATGAATTATTGGACTGAACAGACTGAACAGGATGAGATTGTCATTTGTGGGAATCTCTCTGAGCATTGCAGTGAGGATTCTTACAGTAGGGTAAAATCTGACCCGACCCACGTTGTTTTGCCTTAGTTGGACTTGCGGTGAATGCATGCTTGGAAAGCCATTGATTATTGGACTGAACATGATGAGATTGTCATTTGTGGGAATCTCTCTGAGCATTGCAGTGAGGATTCTTACAGTAGGGTAAAATCTGACCAGACCCACGTTGTTTTGCCTTAGTTGGACTTGCGGTGAATGCATGCTTGGAAAGCCATGGATTATTGGACTGAACATGATGAGATTGTCATTTGTGGGAATCTCTCTGAGCATTGCAGTGAGGATTCTTACAGTAGGGTAAAATCTGACCAGACCCGCGTTGTTTTGCCTTAGTTGGACTTGCGGTGAATGCATGCTTGGAAAGCCATGGATTATTGGACTGAACAGGATGAGATTGTCATTTGTGGGAATCTCTCTGAGCATTGCAGTGAGGATTCTTACAGTAGGGTAAAATCTGATCAGACCCATGTTGTTTTGCCTTAGTTGGACTTGCGGTGAATGCATGCTTGGAAAGCCATGGGCTATTGGACTGAACAGGAGGAGATTGTCATTTGTGGGAATCTCTCTGAGCATTGCAGTGAGGATTCTTACAGTAGGGTAAAATCTGACCAGACCCACGTTGTTTTGCCTCAGTTGGACTTGCGGTGAATGCATGCTTGGAAAGCCATGGATTATTGGACTGAACAGGATGAGATTGTCATTTGTGGGAATCTCTCTGAGCATTGCAGTGAGGATTCTTACAGTAGGGTAAAATCTGATCAGACCCACGTTGTTTTGCCTTAGTTGGACTTGCGGTGAATGCATGCTTGGAAAGCCATGGGCTATTGGACTGAACATGATGAGATTGTCATTTGTGGGAATCTCTCTGAGCATCGCAGTGAGGATTCTTACAGTAGGGTAAAATCTGACCAGACCCACGTTGTTTTGCCTTAGTTGGACTTGCGGTGAATGCATGCTTGGAAAGCCATGGATTATTGGACTGAACATGATGAGATTGTCATTTGTGGGAATCTCTCTGAGCATTGCAGTGAGGATTCTTACAGTAGGGTAAAATCTGACCAGACCCACGTTGTTTTGCCTTAGTTGGACTTGCGGTGAATGCATGCTTGGAAAGCCATGGATTATTGGACTGAACATGATGAGATTGTCATTTGTGGGAATCTCTCTGAGCATTGCAGTGAGGATTCTTACAGTAGGGTAAAGTTGGTTAATTTCTCAACCCACAAAAAAGTAGGTTAAGGGTTGCCAAGGTATATAATTATATATGTATGTATATCTACATTTTTTTTGGAGGCTATCAGTACGAATGTCTGAGGGACTTCTGACAGATCCGGCACGGCGATTTCGGTTTAAATCCCTACAAGGGGAGGCCCCCCAGCTATGGTTGTTGGTTTATAAGCCTCAGCCCCACAACAAGCCTAGCTATCCTTAAGTAAGGTTTGTCAACTTAGCATAACCGACATTTCCACCGGTGGCCATTCCATCGGCGCCAGATCCAGGCCTGTCAACTACCTGATTCCGCAGATCATGCGAAGGCACTGTCCATGTGTTGCTTCCTAGAATTGGTCTAAAGGGAACTTTAAATTGGTGAACTATACAAGTATATCCATTAGATCATTAGTTAGTTTTAGGACATATGGATATATATGGTAAATTACATAATTGGCATTAATTGGCAGGAAAGTCCTTAATTTATCGATATGTTGGCTGAAAACGATGGCTTTCAAATGAGAGATGTGTCAAATGCTACGGTACACGATGGTTCACCGGTGGAATCGTCAGGCTCAACCAACTGGTTACTGAATATTAGCCTCTGGTTATGTCAAAATAGCTATTGAAAATGGTGAATTATAGAGGATTTACTTAGCTAGAACATGGTGATTACCCTCTCGTAATTTGTTACGTAGCTATTGAAAATGGTGATTTATAGTGGATTTACCCAGCTAGAACATGGTGATATTCCATAGTTATGCAAACGTTTACCAGAGGGTAGTACCTGAATATACTAACTGATTTCTTGCTAGGTAAAATTCGTCCATTCACCAGCTGAACATTGGATTGTGGCTAAGATACACCCTGAATTTCAGGTTGGTCACGGAAATGGATCCCAAAGAAAAATCGTCTACCTAAACTGATTGGTGGTTTGGAACATTTTCTATTTTCCACAATATATGGGATGTCATCCTTCCCATTGACGAACTCATATTTTTCAAGATGGTTGAAACCACCAACCAGTAAAACAATCCGGATACAGATAGAAAAGCAGGGAACATATGGAAACCCAGGAAATAAACTAAAATTGGTTGAGGAAATATCTACATTCTTGGAAAAACCATCAAGTCTGTCTGTAGTCTACTTTTTCGTGGAAGTTCAGCTGGAGCATCTCAAATCCCCATGATGTTTTTTGTATGTAATTAGTCCTCATATGAATATGTCGAGAGATGGAGATACCCAAAGTTTTCTGAATCGCTCCATTTCAGCAAGATTTGAGTATACCTGGTTGGTGGTTTGGAACAATTTGGAACATGAATTGTATTTTTCCATATATTGGGGCTAATACTCCCATTTGACGAACTCATATGTTTCAGAGGGGTTGGTTGAAACCACCAACCAGACACCGTAGACACCAATTTTCTTGGGCTATAATTGCTGTACAGTACCCTATCGGAGTATTACCCTGGCTCTAGTATCGCCAGGATAAGTGGATGTTCATTCGATTCGCTGATAAAAAAGACCATAAAACCGGATCTTGGGGCATTGTGCAGCTGCTTCTCAAATAGAGTAGTTGTTCTGCTGAAAACAACGAATAAAACAACGTACAATCATTTGCAACCTAATTTTCCCTGTGTAATTGGGGTTAACTACTATTAAAATCTGTTATTACATTGTCATTTTTACATTCAAAATGAAACCTATGCTGGTTGGTGGTTTGGAACATTTTTTTATTTTTCCATTCAGTTGGAATGTCATCACCCCAACTGACTTTCACTCCATCATTTTTCAGAGGGGTAGGGCTCAACCACCAACCAGCCAATAATATCCCATTAATAGTCCATATATATCCCATTAATATGCCATATATATTCCAATAATATCCCATTCCCATAGGATCCATGGTGCTGGTATATATGCTAACATAAATGGGGTCTATTGATGGGATCCATGTTACCATTTTTGTAGCATCCATGGATCCTATGGGATTAATATACCATATAATCCATATATATATATATTCCATTAATATGCCATATATATTCCAATAATATCCCATTCATATCCCATATAATTATATCCCATATATCCCATTAAATTCCCATTAATATTCCATTTATATGCCAAATATCAGCTCTTTCGCGGTGAACTCGCCAGGAAGTTCTACAACTCCTGGACCGCCTAAAGACTCGGCGGCAGGCGGGGGCGATCATGGGCCCAGGGGGCTCCTCAAACGAGCTGTAAGTGGGTTACCCCAGTTATACCCGGCCTGGTAAACATACAAAAAACTACGGTTTAATGGGATTCAATTGTGATTATAGAGGTTTAATCAACCAAAAACAGGGATGTTGGTGGATATACCTTCTGGTAAATAGCCACATAACTATGGAACATGGCCATAGAAATAGTGGATTTGCCCAGCTAGAACATGGTGATTTTCCATAGTTATGAAAACGTTTACCAGAGGGTAAGTGGAATGAGCGCAGATAATCTCAGTTAATCCACTTATAACTGAGGTAATATCAGTCAATAAGTTGAATAAGTATGAATAAGTACACACTCGAACCCAGTTGTTACCCACTTATTTAAATTGTAAGTTGGTTAGTTAACTATCCCATATTAACTGATAAAAGTGGTTTATAATCCGAGTGATATTGAAAGTGGAATAAGTGCAGTTAATATCAGTTAGTCCACTTATAACTGGGGTTATAAACATGTATAAACAGTTATAAGTGAAATAAGTATGAATAAGTGCAGTTAACCCACTTACAACTGGGGTTATAAACACTTATCATTGGGGTGAACATTATTTCACTGTGCCTAAAACGTGGGATGAAGCGCCAAGTCAGCCTTGGGATGTTGGTCATATCCCACCGGTGGTTAGGTTACTCTGCAGCCAATGAACTTATGGAAAACCCACCATAAATGCAGTATGTTTACCCATTAACTTATGGAAAACCTAGCAAATTAGATCATTTTCCCAACACAAATGCAGTATGTTTACCCAAGGCTTTCCCAACGAAAATCGCTCCTCACCTGTCAGGGAGATGAAGATCTTCCATGTCGCCGGTGTTGCTCGGAGAATTCGCTGGGCAGTGGTGGGCAGTGGTGGGCAGTGGTGGGCAGTGGTGAACGTTTTGTACCCGTCGCGACCTCACTTTGATGGTCAATAAGTTGTTTTTCTTTTTGGTTTTTCCCAATATAGCCTTACTGTATTCCAGGGTAGTGAATTGTTATGAATCATTATTGTTAATTACCCGTATATATATATTATACATATGATTGTCGATCTAAAGGTCCATGTAGAGATTTTCCATTACAAAGGCCGCCAGGGTTCCAACATGAGACCCCGCGAAAGTTTTTTTCAAAGTTCGCGAAAGTATTTTTTTGAGGGCCAAAGATTTAGCAAAAAAAACCTTAATAAGAGACCCCCGCGAAAGATAAACATGACATGGGGTTCGCGAAAGCATTTGTTTATTCGCGAAGAATGGCTTTTGCAGATAAACAAATTAGATCAACCGCCATAGATGTACATACAATGTATGTATATATATACACATACAATGTCTATATATATATTATATACACACATACAATGTATATGTATATATATACATGCACATACAATGTGTATATATATATATATACGCACTGTATATACAGTATATATATATACAATGTCTATATAAATATACACATATAATGTCTATATACATATACACATACAATAAGGTTTCGGCTCTGTGGGGGACCCCCCCCTAGCTATTAACCCTACCGGTTCCTGCTTAGCCATTCGACCGGGGGCGGATCACACTGGTGTTTCTGCCTGACTTTGCGGTTTTTGACTTGTTTTTTTTGCATTAATTTGGCTGTCGTTCGATCGACCCACGCTGTGCAAGTATTTCACAAGGTGATCCATTTTTGTGCAGAGTGCTTGGCTTGCCCACTTTGTCAATAATTTACCATCCCTGTTAGCTGAACTTGCTGTACGGACTTTGGTTGTTGGATTGAATTTCTCCAATTGACCATCTCTGGCTTGGCAAAGTGAATGCATCGTATTTGTTGGTTTTACATTGCCTATTTTGCGGCGGTGCTTTTTGCCAACTATTACTTTTACATACTTTTACGGTAGCGAGAAGAAGGAGGTTGAGGCGGAATCGAGCCCTAGCAAGAGCTTTGTGGTACAAGCACTCCAAGTGCAATCTTTTTCTTTCAAGGGGGAAGTTGCTTTGGATCCGGCAGACTTTGGCATCTCATCATTCAAAAGACAGGAAGTTCATTCGTGTGATATCAGAAGCCATGTCCCACTACCATTCGGAAGAAGCGTACTCATGGAGATGCCATGGGCGTTTGAACAAGAAGACCCACATTCACTGCCCTGTATCCCGGAAACATTGGTCGAAGGGTGGGAAGCACGAAACTCAGCCTACGTATCAATGGCAAGAAGAAGTAGACGATCAACATTGGGAGGATTGGGAATCACCTCGGACAACCCGCCCAAGAAGCAAAAGCCCTCGCATCAAAAAGGGCAAGGGCAAAGGCAGAGGAAATGAACAGGAGGCGAAGATGTCAAGCAGTCGAGAACAGCAGACACCTTCACCAAGGGTTTCTTAGCTTCCTATTGGTTGGAGCACACCATATTTAATGATATCTCTTTCCGTTAATCTCACTGGAATGTTCTTCCGTGCCCTGGCCGGCCAAAATTTTCAAAAGCCTAGTTTTGCAGCCTTACGGCTGTGGAAGATTCAATCTTGCCTAGATGTATGAATAATCATTCATTCCTCCATCCCCTACTAAGACGTAGCCCTCCCGTCTCGTGTCGAGGCTGCAGCAAGCACTTTGCCGAGTCCTGCTTCGAAGTTGGGTCCCCAAGTCGACCAGGATTATGCCCATTAGCCATGCCCTGCGAGAATAGTTCAGACAGATTTGTTCATCAGATCAGATGTTTATTGATATTCAAATATTATATATGTATGCATAATTACGTGTATTTCTTTACCTATACTCACATATATACATGTACACAAATATCTTTATAGATAGATTGCGAGCGAGAGAGAGAGAAAGAGAGATCGGATTTATCATTATTCATCCCTAAATTTCGACGTTTCATGATTATCCCGCTTCCCTTGAAATACAGACTTTGGTCGTGGAAGATTGGCTGCCAAGCACGCGAAGTCATTAAGTAAACCAACTGGTGAAGGGTATTTAATTATTTAATACAACTTACCCTAGGGTAAGCATACAATAAATGTGGAAAACCAATGGTTTCCCTAGGGACCTGACCTTCAAATGATGTGTTCCACATCTATGTTAGCTTACCTAAGGATAATATGTTGCCATGTTGGATGGAAGTATATTCGCCAAACCAGTTAGTCAATTGTCCTTGTTGAAAGGGTACCCAAGATTGGCAATGTTTCGGGTGGCCCAAGTTGATAAAGTCTAAGTGGATAACAGAGACACAGATGTAGTTGATATATGATATTGCTTGGCAAACTGTTAAACCATATGGTCAGGGGTTGGACGCACAGATATGTCGTGCAGTTCACCTTCCATCAGGCCGTATCATTATACGATGTCATGTCTGATGAATATGGCATTGCCCACAAATGTAAGCGTTGCCTGCACACCTAGATGCAAATGCATATCATATAATTGTTATCCGTTCATCCCCCGTACAGGAAAATCATAGGGTTAAAGCCATCCCCACTACTTGGGTTTGCGGTTCCAGTTATAAGTGGATACACAACCATAGTTATAAGGGGTTATATTCCCAACTTATGGTGGTTATCAATGACGTTTTCCCTTTCACAATATACCAGCAAGCATGGTTATGTCCCATATTGTCCCATTATATCCCGTTAAATCCCATTCAATCACAATGTTTGATATTGTTTTGTTGATCATTGAACCCCCCATGTTTTGGGCAACCATTTGTTGGGAGAGACTTCATTTGACCAGGTGAAGAAAGTTGGTGAGGTCAAACTCACGCGAGAGCAGCATCTTGGTGGTGACACATGGGCGGGGCCCTCTAAACAAGTTGGTTAGGTAGGGTAACTACTGGTTTGTGGCAGATACAGGTATAGTTAATGGTGCTTATAAACCAACTTCTAACCGGGGGGGCACCTTTTAGTGAGCAGGTTATAACCCCAATTATAAGTGAACTAACCTTGCTTATTATCTTATTTACCTTTGTTATAGCTGGGGTTTTAACTCACTTACATTCACTTACTAACTGGGGTGAACTATGAAGTAGCATTTTTCATTTGGGTATGAAGAAGAATGAGACCATTTCAATGGGGGATCCCTAGTTTCACACATCCAAGAATGAACATTGTAGCCTACATAGTCACTTTATATATATATATACACACATGTATACATAAATATATATATATATATAGATACATCCATTGGATATCCCGGGATACCCATCAAAAGCATTCAATAGCTTAGTTTACCATCTAGGTAACCCACCACGGCTTGCTGGAGAAGCCTCCATTTGGTTCGAGGCGGGGATCCCCGCAGGGAATCTACCAGCCATGTTTATGACACCGGAGGGTAATATGGTCAATATTACCACTATTTTTATTGTTAGCTAGTTAATATTAATCTATGTAAATCTTCAATATTCACATATGTTCGCTACTACGGGCTCACTAGCTCATAATTTGTGGATATCAATGGTTAATCTTAGTTATTCACTAGCTCAATATTTATGGTTATCCATGATTCATCAACATGTTTGATCTCCATTCATACCAACCATTGTTCATCATTTTTTACATCAACATGAGCCCCATGGATATATTTATCTGAGTAAATTATCACGACCTCACTGTTCTCCCGAACCCTGGAATCATGGTTTAGATATATTAAATCATCCCCAAATAGCCCAACAATTCAGATCAGTAAAATATAGTAATTTACCCAGATAAACCTTAGTTACTGGAGTTACCTTTACCATTTTTTACCAACGAAGTGGGGCAACCTGGGTACCACCTTAATTTACCCATATATCATATAGCTTATGTGATTATATATATATCAACCATATATTTATCCATACCTAAATTTATATGTATATATATATATATATATGGATACCCAGAAATAAATAAATATATATATATATATATTATAGAAATATACACCATATTTATGGCAGATACCCACCAAGGATTCTCTTCCATGTGGCCAATCTGCTGACCTCTTTAAAGACCGGCGTCGTGGCTGGGATGAGCTGCTCGGCGAGTGAGTTCTCCACGGCTTCCTCGGTGTCGTTGCGGAGGTACCATAAGGTTTTTTGAGGCCTAAGGGAAGATGAAGACAACATGTGGGTTTATCAATAATGATCAGAAATCATATGGTATCAATAATGATCATCAAAATATAAAGCCTATTATGTGGTATCAATCATCATCGATCCCGTTTTCGAATGGGTTTAGATTTGATCCAGTTCTCAAAGAGTCTGACATTGACCAAAAGCCGCATTGAGGAAGTCAATCCCAGAGTTTTCGGCTTTCAGTCATGGTTTGGTTGTAGCACCTTACCATCCAAGCCCGGACCGCAGAATTGGATGAGATCATCCAGATCTGCACCAGGGTGAAAACATCGCATTCTGCGCTTGAAGCGACATGGCAAACGATACCCCGTATGGTAGGTACCCTTTGGTCATGAAACATATCTGGCCTTGACAAAAATGTCATGGGTTTGGGCATGATATCATTGGGAATCCATACATACAACGGCCCCACAGGACTTTCTGTGTGCTTACGCAAACACGTTCAAAACAAATTCGATTAGCAAAAAAGTGATTCAGAAATACTTTCTCTCGACTTACCTCCAAAGCTGCTCAATCTCTGCAAAAAGTCGACATCATCCAAGCAGGTCTTCCGTCCCTTTTTCGAGGTGCTGCTTGTGTGACAACGACCATGACCATCAGAACGCCCATTTTACTTCTTGGAAGGACTGAACCGGGTCCCCGACCAGTGAAGGGGAGGTTGGTTTTTGAATGGGGTGCTTTATGGTTAGTTTTGCTGCTATTAGAAGGGAAATCAAATAGCTAGCTAAATTAGCTAAAGACAAGCGTGTTTCCAGTTTCTCTTAGAATAGGCAGTGAGTGTCTTCCTCAGTTCTAGTAGAGGGGTAAATGGGAGACTCTCAGCTGGATACCATGGAAGTCGTAGGTAAATCATGGTCAATCTTCATCAATCTTCTATTTCGATGGGCCATGGTTTCCATAGCTATGTTACACATCCAGAGGGTACATCTCACCGGCCCTTGCAGGAACCTAAACATTAGGATCCTAGTTGCATGTTTTCCTACCTTAAATATGTTTCTCTTACAAAACCAAGGGTGTTCCATGTAAGTGTAAGTAATGTCAAATCCTTCCATTACTAGTGGGATATTTGTGATCTGATATCCCATTGATCTTATATCCCATTGTATCCCATTTCGTATCATTATCCTGTTATCCTGTTATTCACAGTTTGTTTTTAATAACCAGAGGTAATATAACAATAAGTTGAGTCATGAACCTGGGTTTATTGCGTCTACGAATGATGAATTGGATGCTCACCAACGCAGTGTTATTTTTAGGAGCCATGGCCTGTTTTTGCACTTCCAACACAAGAAAGTCGTTGTTGGCACTCCTGTGGATATCTTTTGGATTTTGTTTGCCATGCATTCACGGTGAAATGCGTGTGTCTTTTGGAATTCCTTTGTCTTTGGATATCTTTTGGATTATCCTTTGGTGCTCTTCATTCACCCGTTTTGTTGGGGCTGCCTCTTTTCTCTGATGGTTCCAATGCAACGGGGTCACCCCCTTCAGGATTCCTCTGCGCTACACCACGACGACTGTTTCTTGTGGCAATCGTTTTTGGGTGGTGGGGCTTCGGACGTGACCGCCCTGTCACATCGGTATTTTGGTCATCTTTGGAAGCCCTAACTGACGACAGATGATGACAGATGGCCCTATCACTTCCCCCCAAAAAAATTGGGGTGTTCAATCTCGACTCTTACCCTCCGGTAATCAACTGTGGCTGGGCAATCCCCGGACTCAATGGAGGCGAAAAAAACGGGAAAATCAACGAACTAAATGGTGGGCAAGTTACCACGTTGAAAAAAATGCCATGCCACGTCTGCCACGTTGTTCAGTGTAAAGAACGACCCTTTTCCATCCTTTTCCCCTGAGGCTATTGTGCCATACATGGGCCGACTGGCAGCCACAGGTTGGGTCCCGGCTAGCGAATATTTTGGGGATGAATCCCTTCCCCCTGGTTCATATAAAACACCCCCTGGCCACGAAACCCATGGTTTTTGGTTGGGGATTTCCACCTTCCATTAGGACCATAGAAATAGGGTGTTGAGAGAATTAGGGTGATGTGATGATCACAAGTCCATGAACCAGGGATCCTGATCACCAGGATAAAGTAGTGGAGTGATAGTCAGTGGGGGTTTTGAACACGGCTGAGACGTCTCGACGTCTCTACCCACCCCAGGTGGTTCACATGCCTGACTCACCCAACACGTGCGCCACATCCAAGCAGTGTGTATCCCATGCCCAAAGAGATCATTGTCCTTGAGATGTGCATCAAATAGGGGCCCTGATGCCACAAACCCCTATTGTTTTTCCTATTGAATATGACCTTTTCACTACGGTAACCATACAGCTTACCCAATGGTGTTAATATTTTTCTAAATCAATAAACATTTTTTCACCATTATTTTTGAGTTCATCCACCAGTGACGATTCATTTTTTGGTGCTTCTCTTCCCAACCAACATGGACCCTTCCATTCATAGACCTCCATGGGACGGGCGGTCGATGGCAAACCTGCCTCTTTTTTCATATCCATGTTCAAAGATGAATTTATGGTTCCTGCACGCTTGGTATTTCTACACGTGCAGAAACTTCACGTCGGATACGTTTCTGAATAGATTCTCTTCCTTGAAGCAGACGTAGCAGACCACATGAAGAAAAGTTGAGATGCAGCACTGGCCGCCTTAAATCCAAGCATCTCTTACTGAATTTCTGTGCCACTCAGCCAACTTCCTGGATTTCAGGTTGTTGTTCAAATTTCCGAATTTGATCGAATTTGTAAGTAATCTTACCAGCTAGATCTCCGCTAGCAATGCGGTAGCAAAAACTGCAAAAAGTGGCCGTGGCTGACCTGTGACCTAGTCGCCAGAGAACTTCAGTAGTTTCTCTTTTCTTTTTGACAAAGAAAACTACAGCAAAGGCAACGACAAACTCTGCAGCAAAACAGCAAGTTTTTCGAGTTCCCCGACTAGCAGCGGCACCTGCTCCAAATAGACGTGCGCTGGCATTTCCGAAAGGTTTTAGATGCAGTTTCAAAGATGAAAGAGAAAAGGCATGGTTTCAGACCGTTTAGATATACGCCAAATTTTGAAGACCAAAGAAAAAGCGGCATGCATGGAATTATGATTTATCAACCGAACAGAAGAATACATTCTGACGAACCGTCATGCATATTAACTATGTATATACACATATAATCAGATATATAATATATAATAATATATAATACATATGTATAATCATATATATATATACAATTTAATGGTGTATATACAATAAATATATATATATATAACCAGATACATACAGTCACATACATATACGTATACACAACCATTCGCGAAAAGCGTTGCAGTGGGTGTCAGGCGTGGGTACTGGCGTCTTTGCGGCTGGTGTGGCGGTGGGTTTGGCGTGGAACTTCGCGGTGCCTTGTCGCCCTTGGAGGATCCCGGTAGCGTCGGTGGTACATCATCCATAGACGAGAAATTATGAAAAAACATACCAAACATGAGAATCTTTGAAGATCCAATATTCTATCTACTTCAAGATCATTATGAATGATATATATATATAGATATGTAAGTAGCTATAGATTGAGCTATAGATAGCTATAGCTATAGATCTGTGTATAGATTAGATGGATACAGTAGATATTGGAAATCAGTCGGCAAACTGGTTGGTCCCTTTAATTTCAACCGCCAATTCAATTTTCGATGGTTTTGGGGTCTTGGGGCCCTATTTCAAACCTTGACACCCATAGCCAGCCCCAAATTGATCCAAAAGTTGAACACCTGGATATTCTGTAAACACAAGTGCCTTCACTTTTTGTTCCTTGGGCTTGTCTGAAAATAGAATACGAGTCAATCATAATTTACCCCAATAGAATGGCCTTTTGGTGGGTATACACCATTTTCAGACACAGTAATCTATTTTTCTGTTGGGAGGTTCCTCTTAATGATCTTTAACGACGGATGAATCCCAACCCCCTAAAATGACCTGCGGACCAACAAGAAGTGACCCCCAAAATGAAGCGCATTCAATACGTTTCACCAGGGCTTTGTTTTGGGTGGCATTCTTCAGGGGCAAGGGATTATTCTAACAGCGGTCGTATCATGTCATACTCAAAGAATTATTGAGTACCCATAACAATAATTAGTTCAATGATTAATAGTTGGTATGATGATCCGGTACAACCAGTGATTAAGACTTATAATCTTGAAATCGCTCTCGACGAAGCGATTTCTATATATTTCATGATCCACGTGCCAATGACTTACTACAATGTGGTGCCCAGTTCGTTTGCCAAGTTGGTTTATAAGTAGGTAGACAGTCTGGTTTGTGGTAGATATAAGATGATATAACTGTAATGTGGGTAAAACAATGCCATAAACTAGCCATTTGGGAATGGTAAACATGCCACCTATTTATGGTGATGACTGGGGGATGGTTTAGTATTGTTTTAACCAAATTAGTATAGTTACCCTCTGGTAAACTGACATAACTATGGAAAATCACCATTTTAAATGGGTAAATCCACTATAAATGGCCATTTTCAATAGCTATGTTGAATTCCCAGAGGGTAGATGGGATTTTTTCAACGCAACACAATCACCTCTTCCAGCTGAGGTAAACCTCTATGCACGTCGCTTCAACGAACGTCTTGCAGCCTCCACGTTGCCCATTTGTGTGTGCAACTCTACGGACAAGGACGGGAGAAGAACATGGCCATGGGTAACCGGAACATGATATGGTACTGGCGGTGGGCCCCGGTTCTAAGTTATGAGTTGGTTGATGTTGGTTGATAACCACCATGTATATCATTTCAAGTTATACTGGTTGGTGCTTTGGAACATGAATGTTATTTTTCCATGGTATATGGGAATGTCATCATCCCAACTGACTTTCACTCCATCATTTTTCAGAGGGGTTGGTTGAAACCACCAACCAGATAAATCAATAAACTTTTTTTTCACCATTCTTTTTGAGTTCATCCAGTGACGATTCATTTTTGGATGCTTCTCCCTTAATAAAAAAGGGATAATCCTTCCCATTGACTACCATCTGGTTATTTAACATAGCCATGGAAAATCACATTTTTTTTAAAGGTAAACCATCTATTTCTATGGGCCATTTTCCATGGCTATGTAACAAATAACCAGAGGGTAATATTTTTCAAGATGGTTGAAACCACCAACCAGCAAGTTTTTTTAGTCGGCGAAGTTGCATCCAAGAATAGCACCCTGGGCACCGGGGTTCCCCCGGACGTCGCCACTGTTTGGGGTATCAAAAATGGGGGGGTTATGGCTTAGTGGCTGAGTCAATGTTGACGCAAAAAGCTGGTTGGTGGTTTGGAACATTTGTTATTTTCCCCAATAGTTTGGATGATGATCCAATCTGACTAATATATTTTTCGGGCGGGTAGGTATACCACCAACCAGAAAGGTTGGGTTAGTGATGGTGACTGGGCAATGAAGTCGGCAGGGTATCATGTGGGGTTTTTGTCCCCCACAATGCCAGTGCATGGAGTTTTTTTTACTGGGGAAATCAAACTGAACTTTGGATGTGGGTTGAGGGATCATCCAAAGTATCATGCTTTTTTTTAAATAGATCCAATTAGTCAGTGTCGGGACATGGTTGAACATCATTTTTCGGAAGTCCTATAAAAATAGAATTCTACCACATTGTTTTGTACCAGTTATATACTCGTTACTAGCTGGGAATGTCAGTAAACTAACTCAAGGCCGGCTGGTGCCCAATCCTTCGAAGGATAGGCAAGGGTAGTTGGTGACCAACCAAGCATGAGGACAATTGAGGACATGGGGCTAGAATCAGCCCACGTGAAAAGATCAACCAACACTCATCACTTCCATGAGTATTTTGTTCGCAGTTTTTGATTGTATATGATTGTATATCCTAATACCGGTACCCTCTGGTAATTTAACGTAGCTATTGAAAATGGCCATTTATAGTGTATTTTCCCATAACAAATGGTGATTTTCCATAGCTATGTTAAATTACCAGAGGGTAAATCCCGATGAGTTTAAATGGGCAATTTTCCCAATGCAACGGTCGATATCTTTGGACCAAAGTTTCAAAGTCCAGGAGGTGACGCTGCAGCTTCGCAGCGTGCGCGGGGGAATCAGTTTGGCAGATCTTGTGTGCCTTGGTTCTTGTTGTTGACCATTTGGCAATCAAACATGGCTTGGAACTTCCTCATTTATATCAGATGTTCCACTGATTTCTGGAGGGAAGCTGTTTTTTTCTGCCACCAAAAAAAGGATTCACTCACCGCCGTTCCGCATTTGGGACGGACTCGGGAGATAGTTATGGACAGCCCAGATCCTGGAAGATCCATTTGGGACGCCGATTGACATGTTGAAAGGTCGGTGATAGATGTGGTGATCTTTTTGATCGGAAAAAATCGAGGTCACCTTTTCTCTTTTTTATATGATATCTGATATCTGTTGATATCTGTGAAAACCTTGTGGTGTTTGATCTATCTGTGAAAACACCCGCCTTTTTCCAGCCTTGTTCAGGGTTTCTAGGTCAGTTTACAGGAATCCCCCTTCCAAGAGCATAAACAAATGGGTCTGGACGGTCTGGACACGGAAATTTTATTTGGAACCATCTGCTAAAATGGGTTTTATACAAATTTATAAATCAAAAAATCGGTCGAATGTTAGGCTGAATAAAACTGAAAGTTTCAGTTTCTTTCTTAAACATGTTTCTCAATCACTGATATCTGGAGCTGCACAAGGCTATTATTTGTTCCCATGTTCCGGATAAACCTTGGATAGTTTAAGATTGGTTTGATCGATTGGTTTTTCGGTAGATCTATGTAGATCTATAGTTAATACGTGGTTAAACCGACCATGTTTCTAACTCGTAGATAGATTATTAATGTTGGTTGGATCCACGGCTGAATCTGACCCATACCTGTGATGCTGGGCTGTGAGGCAATCTGTGCGAGAATATTGTGGCGCAGGATGCAGGACTGTAGCTGGTGAAACTTGAGTTATCTGCTTAGCAACCCCCAAATAGCTAGAAGAGTTGGACATATATGGAAATATGAAGTTAGTATCATGGAAATACAATCTTGGAAACACGTTCCTATATTTTAGGCATTACATCTACTTGTCATATATATATATATATAAATATATATTATGGGTTTCTTACGTCGTGGGGCATCCCGAAGAGTCATGGTCAGTCTGCCTCGCCTGGCTGAAACCTGGAAACCACTCCACTGGGGGATGGTCGTAGCGAAATTTTGATGCGGGGCTTAGCCACTAAGTAGCTAAATATAAACCTATATGACACTAGATCAATGGGAATTTCGGGATCCTATTCAATGGAGGTACGTAAACGTACCATATGACAAAGGCCATATGAATTGTGGGGATATTCCCTGAAATTTAGGCCTCATATAGGCCTTATATATGGTAGGTACCTCCAATAAATCGGTTCCTGAGATGGCCAGTGACTAGAGAATGATGGCGAAAGATCCTATGTGATCTTATGCAGCTGGTCTGGAAAGATGGTACGCCTAGAATCCGATGCTTCGTATTAGATATGACCAAAATCCTTGGTCTGTGGGTCTTGAAGAAAAGTGCTTAACCATTCGTTTCCATAGTAAGACATTTCAAATCATACACTCAAATGAATCCAAATGAGCAATCTACTCGTACATACTTGGTTTGGAACAGGAAAGCCAAATGAACAAATTTGCGATTTGAAATTGAAAAAACACGTCATCATTGCCGTTTCAATTACCCTGTGGTAAACATACAAAAAGCAAACTGGAAAGATCCACCATCTTTAAGTTCGGTAAATCTACTATTTCTATGGGCCATTACCACCATATACCCTCTGGTAAACAGCCACATAGCTCTGGAACATCACCATTCTTAATGGCTAAATCCACTATTTCTATGGGCCATTTTTCAGTTCGCACTATGTAACAGTCATGAAACCGAGGGCCGCAACTCCTGGACTCTCCATGGTGCCGGTGGTGCCGGTTGGTGCCGGTGTCTCCAGGACTCTCGCGCTACAAGCTGGAGTTGCAGGCGAGCTTAACCCACCCTGTGAAGAGGCGAGGCCGCGAGGCCTTGAGGCCGACCAGTTGAGACTGACGTTGGTTTTCCCAGAGGAAATTTGTGGGAAAAGCCTCTGGTTATGACTAACATAGCCATGGTTAAAAGCCTTATAAATGGCGGTTTATAGCTGGGAAAATCATCTATATTTCTATGGGCCATGGCTTAACCATGGCGAACTGTGACAAATAACCAGAGGGTATCTCTATGAATACAAATCTATATATCTTTCTATATTACAGTGTATTTATGCAAGATGCATATTCTAGTTGCTACCATATCTATTCATATGTTTCTTACTAAATATACTATGGAGATGCGTATAGTTCATTATATTAATGCATTAGAGATCATTACCGATGGAAACCTAAACCTCCCCCGAGAACGGTCTAGGTGAGATCAACTGAGGAGTTTTCCACTACCTCCACTATACACTATATGTTCCGAAATATGTTCACTCTCTGGTAATTTGTTAGTTATTGAAACATGTTGAAACTACCCCATTCAGTTCGTTGATTTACCTCTTCAAAATGGTGATGTTCTATTTAAACATATGTGGCTGTTTACCAATATGTTTACTTCTAAGATAGCCAAAATGTTGCAAAATGTATACGCAGGCCGATCCGGAGCAGCGCTTCTTGCTCTGCGCTTTCATCCAGAACAAAAAGGACAGTCTTAGAACGGAAGTTGGGTGGAACTTGGGTGGGTTATCAGTGGTTTACTCATGAAACTTATACAGTAATCCCCCAAAATAAAAAAGTAAAACCCCACCAAAATATACCAAAATAGTGATATGTTATACTTAATGTTCTATCTTTTAAGGAGGCACTATATGTTTGATGAATGTGATAATCACATACAATTCTTTATCATTGCTGGTTTGCCAAACCTTTTATTTGAAATTCATGAACTTATCACATAGAATTCCCTTGAATCGTAAGTGGTCTGGTCAAGAACCATTCTTATTACCCTCTGGTAATTTAACATAGCTATTGAAAATCGCCATAGAAATAGTGGATTTACCCATTGAAAATGGTGATTTTCCCTAGTTATGTTAGCTTACCAGAGGGTTTTTGTCCCCGTGACACGGGGTTATCCCATTAGTGGGATGAGGAAAAAAAGTAACAACCCCCGATGTAGATAGAAAAATTGATGCAAAAAGATCCGGAAAAAAAAAACATGTCCATCCTTTTTGGTGACCCCTATAGTTTCATATAGTTTCATATAGTTTCATATAGTTTCATATAGTTTCATATAGTTTCATACTTTTATCTGCGGTGGCAACCACCAGCTTTCAGCGGAATGCAAGCTGGATTCACCTAAATATTTTTATCCTCCGTGTAGCAACAGCATGTTTTTTGATATGATATTATAATAGTGGACATGTTACAATTTTTCGTGGTAAACCGGTGGGTCAGGCAGTTTGATACATCTGAGTTGTTAGTGGCCATGAGAAGGACTCACAGGGTTGATTTCAGAGAAACATACAGTGGTTTTCAGTATTGCTGAGCAAAGGAGGTCCTGCAAATATTGGTGAGTCTCAATAGTGGCTTATTGGAAATGAGTTTAGCATGTTTCAGCCATATTCAGTATTCAAACATGTTTTTAGATGTGAACAGCACATTTGGGTGAGATGATCTTGACCCAAGTTGACTTCAGAGTGTTTTAGGTTCGCGGTTGGTTGAGTGGGTTTGAGTTCAGCAGCATTGTTCCCACCTCTAGGAAACTAGATTGGAGAGTGTTGAATGTTCCCAGTCTATGTTTAGTGAAGAGCCGACGCGTCTCATTCATACAGACCAAATCACATGTTCCACGCATGACCATACTGTACACGTCTACGTTAGATATGTACTTGTGTTGCTTTTCCCGAGCGTAACACAATATCCAATGAGCAGAAACGCACCAGTTTTCTCGTTCGGTGCGGATTCCCGTGGCATTTGAGGTAGATCCAATCTAAGGGTATCAGGAAATAATTATGCCTGTAATTAGTGTGGTTTCATGGTATTTTCCTTTTTCCCGAATGCGTAGCAAGGGTTCCCGTTTCACTCTGGGGGTCTGGGGGTTGAGGGTGTGTTCGCTCGACGTTGCGTTCACGGTCGCAACCGTTCGCAACCGTTCGCAACCGTCCGCAACCGTTCGTACGAACTCCGTATGGCCGTGCCTATGGGAAGTTCTGCAGAGGTGGTCATTTTTGGAGGTTTCAGACGTGTCGTTGCTTCGTTTCGCGTGGCAGGCGTGGCACTTCGCGACATTCAGACGTGTTCTGCAACGTGTCGAAAGTCGTTTTGCGTGGCAGGCGCAATACTTTTGTGACGTTTTCAGAAGATGTGTTGCAGTTTTCGTGGCAGGCGCAGCACTTTGGACGTGTCCATCGTCATTTTTCGTGGCAGGCGCAGCACCTTAGACGTGTCGTGCTGCGTGTTTTTTGCAAATTGCATTGGCAGGGCTGCGTCAAGTGGCGACAAGGTGCAAATTCCGTGGCAGGCGTGGCATTTTGTGCGATGTGGTGAAAATTGACAGAAGCCTCGCACGAAACATCGATTTTGAGGTTGCAAATTTTCAGGTTCTAAGGAAAACTCGTAGGAAAACGTCGATTTTGAAGTTGCAAAGAGTGAAAATTGGAGGAAGTCTCGTACGAAATGCTCGTTTTGGTGCTCCCAGGTGTCTCGTCTGGAGTCTCTGGTTTTCCCGTGGCTTCGCCGTGTCTATGGGAGAAGCTGCAAAACTTGTCCTTTTGTCATGTTGCCAACTGTGAAAATTGGAGGAAGTCTCGTACGAAATGCTGTTTTTTCTGCATCCACGTGTTCTGTCGCGAGTCTCTGGTTTTCCTGTGGCGTCGCCGTGTCTATGGGGGAAGCTGGCAAACCTGTCCTTTTCGAATGTTTCCACGCAGGTTGTCCTGTCGTTTTGCGTGGCAGACGTGGCAGTTTCTGACATTCCAACCTGTTTGATAACGTGTGGAAAATGTCAAAATTGGAGGAAGTCTCGCACGAAATGCTGTTTTTTCTGCATCCACGTGTTCTGTCGCGAGTCTCTGGTTTTCCTGTGGCGTCGCCGTGTCTATGGGGGAAGCTGGAAAACCTTACCTTTTCGAATGTTTCCAAGCAGGTTGTCCTGTCGTTTTGCGTGGCAGGCGTGGCACTTTGTGACATTCCAACCTGTTTGATAACGTGTGGAAAATGTCAAAATCGGAGGACGTCTCGCTCGAAATGCTCGTTTTTTTGCACCCACGTGTCTCGTCTCGAGTCTCTGGTTTTCCTGTGGCGTCGCCGTGTCTATGGGGGAAGCTCCGCACTCCACACTCTACACTTTACACTCCACACTCCACAATTTACACTTGTAGACCCCACACTCTACACTTTACACTCCACACTTTACACTTTGCACTTTACACTCCTCACTCCTCACCTGAGACTTTACACTCCACACTCCACACTTTACACTACACTCTACACTTTCCACTCCTCACTCCCCACTCTACACTTTACACTCCACACTCCACACTCTACACTTACACTCCACACTCCACACTTTACACTACACACTCCTTACTTTACACTCCACACTTCACACTCCACACTTTCCACTCCACACTCCACACTTTACACTCCTCACTCCACACTTTACACTCCTCACTCCACACTTTACACTCGTCACTTTACACTCTACACTCCACACTCTACACTTTACACTCTACACTTTACACTCTACACTCCACACTTTAAATTTTACACTCCACACTCTACACACCACACTCTACACTTTCCACTCCACATTTCGCACTCCACACTTTACACTCCACACTTTACACTTTACACTCCTCACTCCACACTCTACACTCCACACTCCCCACTTTACACACCACACTCCACACTCTACACTTTCCACCCCACACTCCGCACTCCACACTCCACACTTTACTGTGCACTCCACACTCCACACTTTATACTTTACACTCCTCACTTACACTCCACACTTTACACTTTACACTCCACACTTTACACTCCTCACTCCACACTTTACACTCCACACTTTACACTCCACACTCCACACTTTACACTCCACACTTTACACTCCACACTCCACACTTTACACTCCATACTCCACATTCTACACTTTATACTCCGCATTCTACACTTTACACACTCTACACTCCCCACTCCACACTTTACACTCCACACTCCTTATTTCACACTCCACACTCCACACTCTACACTCCACACTCCACACTTTACTGTGCACTCCACACTCCACACTTTATACTTTACACTCCTCACTCCACACTCCACACTTTGCACTCCACACTTTACACTCCACACTCCACACTTTACACTCCTCACTCCACACTTTACAACTCCACACTTTACACTCCACACTCCACACTTTACACTCCACACTTTACACTCCACACTCCACACTTTACACTCCATACTCCACACTCTACACTTTATACTCCGCATTCTACACTTTACACACTCTACACTCCCCACTCCACACTTTACACTCCACACTCCTTACTTCACACTCCACACTCCACACTCTACACTCCACACTCCACACCGCAGACTGGTAACAAGGGAAGCATGTACAAGACTGTTCAAATATAAACTATTGCAGAAAGGTACTGTGCATGACTGCATAACCATGTGTTTTGACATCTGTGCCATTAACATACGTGTGAGCATTCGGGTTCGTGGGCTTCATCTTGTTTAAGCGCAACAACATCTAACCATATAGCATACCAATCAAAAAGTTACCATGCCAGCAGTTAGATCACCAGCATTTGTCTGACAATGCCGTAGTTAATAGATGGTTTATGCCGCTTGTAATCCCATGAAATTTACCGTGTTTCATAGTGACCAATACTTACCAACTGGTGCAGGATGGTTTGTCCATCCACTGTATTATTCATTGCTTAGATCCTATTAGATCCTCAGTTGATTGCTAAATCTCAATTCCCAAGAGCAACCGCAGGATTTCGCAGCCACAGTATCCCCATCCATAGGATCCATGTATGCTATATATGGTAAAATTTACCATCAATATACCCCAAATGTTAGCATATATACCATACATGGATCCTATGGGCCATGAAGATATTCCCATCATCCCCATGACCACCAGGCCGCTTCACTGCAAGTTCACCGTGGTGACGTCCTTCTCTGGAGCGGTGAACACCGCGGCTTCACACAGGACTGGACCAACCATGGAGGTTAACAATTAGAGATAGGTGTGCCATTAAGAATACAATACAAGGTGAGCCCCTCTAGTTATAGGTTGGTTTATGTTGACTATATATATATATATATACGTATATGTTCTAATCAACCCAAACGTTAACCAAGTTATTATTTATTTACGGCAACTTGGCGATCAGTTTGGGGCCTCATCTCACGAAAGGAACATCTACTACTCAAGCAGTAGAAAGCGATGGGACATATGTTTCATGGCTTAGATAGCGACTGGATTCATCATGAAACGTAAACCAGCATAAAGCACCATGGTGGTTACCATGGTTTATAATGGTTTATCATGAATCCAACATGACTTTTTGATGCTAATCCAACGATGTGTTGATGACTTTTTGATCTTCGTCCTCGCCTGGGATGATCCTTATCACTGTTGTCCATAGTAAGTCCCACATTTTTTTCAAATTCCCACATTCGTAGTATGAATCACTCTTGAACAGTGGGATTTCACTGTTCAATCTTTTTGGGACTTACTATGAACAATGGTGATAAACGATTGGAACTTAGTCAACTGTGGACACTGTGGGTTAAGCATCAAAAACAGGAACAATATTGGGTAATGGGGGTTTAATGGAGGTATAATGGGATAGGACAAACAGTATGGTTTGAAGTGTTTTTAAACGATTTGTATGAAAGGATACTGCACCGTATTCAATGGGAAACTGCCCGGATGGGTATAGAGTTTAGAACACCTTACTCGTTTGCTGTTTTGTGAACGGCCATACTGTAGCATATTACATCACTGGATACATAAATATCATATCAGAACATATCCCCTTGAATGTTCGGTTTCATCCCCACTGACCCTATTTTTACCGTAGATTTTGAGCAACAAGCCATTTCCTCACCATGACAAGAACTAATTCAAGGATCCCGCGGATCCTTCCATTGCAGCACTGGTTTCAACTGCGCCAGGTTCAACTACACGGCTGAAACAAAAAAAAGCCCCCGGTTCCTTTCGGTAGAGGTGTCACTGTTTCAAATGGTCCATATATTTATTTTATGCCCGGAAAGGCATTCTATGAGAGCGTTTCATGGCAAACAATGCCTCAAGAGTGTTGGGCTTTACCGCCCGTCAGCGGTGAAATGAGTTGCGAGTTCCTTCTTCTTGGGAGGACAGCTGTCTCACATGATCTCAATCTGGATGAATTGGGATGAATACAAATAGAAATCCACAATTTTGATCCAATTTGTCGTTTGTGAAGTTGTGATTTATTTCATAGCCTCCATTGGTTGCAGTTGTGGGGAGTTTTTGTTAAGACCACCTGGCTGACTGGAGTCCATCACCTGTTCCGGGCCCTAGAGCTCTAGGGCCCTCTCTTGGCAGTGCTCGCGTGCGTGCCCTGTGTGCTCGTTTCATTTTTTCAGCGGCGGAAACTGTCAGCCTGATCCATGCGAGGAGATTCTGGCGTGTCCAAAAATGGGGTATACCGCCCAAATGGCAATTTTTGCGACGATGATAAACCATTGGATTTTAGGAATTTTAGGATGCTATTTTCCAGACAAACCCAAAGGCAGAATTCCCAATTGGATACTTGGTGGCTCATGCCACTTAGTAAGTGGGTTATAAGCCTAGTTACAAGTGGATTAACCCTACCTATTCCATTTATAACTGGGGTTATGACCCACTTACGATTCGTGGGATGAGCCACCAAGGTGTCGATTTTAGTTTCGTCACAACGTTAACAACTGGAGGCCGGATCCTTTGGTACTTTAGACAATTCCCGAAGGCTATTTTTTCCCGCATCATTTCTACATGTTCTGACTTTTGACATTTCGTTACATTGTGATTGAAAGCAATACCAGCAAGCTGCAGCTAGTTTCTTTGCTGGTCCCACGTTCGATGGAACACTCTGAGGTGGTGTGATTGCACTATGTCCTCATGTCCGAAACAAGTTGTGTTGTTTCATGATGTTCCAATGAAACCTGCAAGTCTGAGTGCATTTATTACGCCACTTCACCATACTTCACCGACTTTGCACTTTACACCAGGTTTTTTAAGCGAAATCTTGACCAAACAGCCTTATTTCAGGTGGGTGAATTAATGTGATTTATCCAAGATGCAAGTCTGAAGCCCGCATTGGTGTTTGCTGACAGTTTCTACATACTTTTCAAGTAAACTGCTGCAAATCAAAAGGACGATTCACAGCTACCCTGCGGGTGCGGGTGAACTTGCCAGCGGCTACACATTATCCACGTGGATCATCGAAATCCCCATATTTTTATTTCAGCCATCTTCTCTTTGTCAGTTTGAAACATGCCATTAAACAAATCAATCCCATCAGCATCCATCAGCCTCATTTCGTTTTCTTGGCGTCCGAGCATGCATCTCTTTCGCCAAGGCGCTCCGAAGAAGAAAGACCTCGCCTCAGAGAACTGCACAGCTGTTGTAAAGCAACAGCTGGTTGGTGGTTTGGAACGTTTTATGTATTTTCCCATATATTGGGAACAATAATCCCATTTGACTTTCATATTTTTCAGAGGGGTACGTCAACCACCAACCACCAACATGTCATCCATGGAATCCAACATCTTGGGGATGGTACATGTGTCGTTGATTTAAATCCGCTTGGTGTTGGTTGAATACGTGCAATGTTTGTTTCCTTATGTTTGATGACCACCCAGGAGATATTCATTTCAACCCATTTGTTGTGCGCCTAGAATCGCCATGAGTATTTAGCCAAATCCTACTTAATTGAACCTTTGTCCGTCAACATCTACTAAACTCCTCCGTTTTCTTCGTTGCACTGCCAGTTTCTGGCTAATTAATCATACTTAATTATTGTACAATTCAGTAATCAAGTATAATTACAATCCCCGTTGATAGAATTCCCTTGTGATTTTCCCATAATATCCAATAATATCAATTAATTTCCCATATTCTACTATTTACCATAGTATATCCCATATTAAATCACATATATATTCTATATATATATATATTCCCCACACTGGCAACGGGCCTTCACCTCCAACTCCACGACCAGATCGCACACAGACTCTTTTACACAACAGGCTGGAGAGTCCTTCAACGCACAAAATTGGAGACGGCAGTCTCCCGAGCAGCAGCAAGTGGTTCCCAAATGGTTGGAGCTCCAAGCACCAGTGAAAGGACCCCGGGTCCAAAGCAAATGAGAGTGGCCTCACTCGCCGATATTGCTCAAACACAGATGCCTATGGAAACCGCCCACTTCCTCCCACTAGGGCGCGCCTGAGCCTGAAGGTGCTAAAACCAGATTCTCTTAATTTCCAGCTGGTGTATGGTTGTAAACATCGATCTGATTGCAATGACATAGATTCACAGTTCCCATATATGAATATGCAGTACTACATGACTTCATGCGAATTTCCCATGTTGACACATGTTCCGTCTACTGATCAAGGCACCACGCCCACCGGCTCCACCGGTCGGCAGCCTAGAATGGCCAGGATGAAGGAATGGAGACCCTGAGCCATGGTTTGATGCTTAGTAAAAATAGAATTGGGTGATTTGTTCCATAGATTGTATTTACTTATGTATTAACGGATAACTTAACAATTTATACTAAATGATTGTCTTTTAGTTAATGGCCATTTTAAAAACTGGTAATCAATCAACATGGCCATTTATAGATGATTTACCTAAACAAAAGAAAACGGTGGTTTTACCTAGCTAGCCAGAGGGTAATGGGAATCGTTCCACAAATGACGAGTTAGGATCAATAGGAACGATGAATGTTGATGAATGATGAGTGTGACCAAAAGATCTGGAGAATTCTCATGAGGAATTAGTGTGTATATAACATTTTCTACTTTAGGAATTTCTATAAATGTCAGGGGTGGGCGAGCAATCTCAAACAACAGTAATATATATATATATATGTATTTAATACACACATATAGATGATGCTTTCTGTCTAGGAAACCCGACAAAGAAAACCGGTGTACCCCTTTGATTTGAGAATCATTGCATGTTTGCCCAGATGGGTCAAACATAAGTGTCCTGAGGCTCAGGACCATCCAAATTTCGAAGATTCACTGGTGATGTCCATGCCATACAGCGGTAGAAACCATGAGATTCACTCAATTGATTGTTTGGAAAGATCGACAGGAAACTACTTTCTTCCCTTACATACTATTGTGATAGATATAAATATAAATACATATAAATAAATGTAAATAAATATAAATAAATATAAATAAATTTAAATAAATATAAATAAATTTAAATGAATATAAATAAATATAAATAAATTTAAATAAATATAAATAAATATAAATAAATATATATATAACTATAAATACATATATATATAGTGACCTTATGTGACCTTGAGTGGCGGGGTTCGTCATAAAATTCCCTTGACTTCAATTTTTGAACACTGTTTTTTTTTTCAATTTACACAGATACTGCTTTGGAACCTGAAATTGCCATTCATTGCACATGTCAGAGGCCAGGCTCTGCGTTTTTAGCCACTAACATAAGTTTGGGGGTCAAAGCCTGGCACTGTGGTGAAACCCCGCCCAAGCTGGTAATGTTCACTCCCCCAAATCATGGTGATATTGATGTGACACAGATTGGCGAAACATTTGAGATCACGCTCAACAATTGATAAAATAACATTCCCAGATGACAATAACCAGACATTTGACTGTATACCTTCCGGTAATCAAGCGTGGCAGTTGAACATCTCTTGCAAATGGAGGTTTATAGCTGGGAAAATCAGCTCTATATAAATGGGTGATTTTCCAGCAAACCACGTTTGATGACACCAGAAGGTAATTTCTTCACATCGTTTCCCTAAGTTCTTTTTGGTGGGGCAATCCTATAGTTTTGTCCTAACTTTATTATTTCCTTGGCTTCCAATGGATGCCTGGAATAGGCAAACATAAGTATATGGAGGTTTCCAGTTTTCATCCATTTATAGATGGATTTTCCATTACGAACCATCCAGCTATTGTGGTACCCCCATTTTAGGACCCCCCCATTTAATGTATTTACACTATTTTACACTGACACAATGATTGATGTAATGATTGAAGGTCGTTATCGCAATCATTGCTATTGAATATGCACTAGTTTAACTAATTTTAACATATTTCCACTATTTAACTGTTATATAAACCATTGGGATTGAAGCAATGATTCATTCCCAGATGACAACCAGACATTGGGATTCTCCGTGCCGAGGCAAGAGCGAAAGCTGCAAGCACCTCGTTGCGAGTTTCGAGGGATCGATGGGATCATAGGGATTGAATCCCTAAGACTCATCTTGAGAAAATATAGGGAAAATCAGAACTTTGGAGTTTATGAATGTTTCATATAGGTTTGATGAAATCTTCTGATTTCTTTCATCATTTATATATAACTGTTTGCTGGGACAATAATGGATTCCTTGATCAATTTCATCACTTGCGTCGCGAAGCAAAAGGGGATGATCGTGTAGCTATCCCCCCACAGTGGACGATCTATAGATGATTTACCATTGACATTGATTTACCTATTAAAAATTGTGATTTCCCATAGGGAACCGTCAAATAACCAGAGGGTAAATAAAATCAATTTAATGATATCCATCTGAACCTGATGTGATTATCCATCTGATAAATTTCTGTGTTTATCCATCTGATAATATGAAATAATTCTCCCAGATGGATACAAATGACAAGAAATGAGGTATGTTGAATTGGTGATCTTTTGACTTCCAGAAGCTATTTGGATGAATTATACTTGCGTCACTGGCCTACATTACCATTTCAAGTCAGTCGTGAAAATCGGCACAGGATTTCCCTATATAAATCAACCTGGAAGGCTGTGTCAACATGTAAGATCGATTTTTGCGCAGATTTGGTCAGTTTTCGGATTTCTGTACAAAAAAAAACACACATGTTTAAGCGTACCTTTGTTTGACCCACGGCCAAACACATGAGCCATTCAAAGTATCCTTGTGAAAATTCGTGATTTTTCGTGGATCATACCACCTGGTTTCGAATGGATACACGAAATGCCTCTGAACCAAGCAGTATTTCATAGGATAGCGCCGCAAGTTTCATTGCACACATCTGGATCAAACACTGGATCAGTGGTTGGGAAACTTTGAATCGGCGATACTGGCGATACTTCAATTATCTTTAGGTTGAACATGGACGAAGTGACCCCTTTTAAA